GAGTAAACAATCAACAAATACACTCATATACATACACATATACATATACATATACATATACATATACATATACATATATTATCTCATGTCATTTTCATAAACAACATTAGGCCTCACACAAATCTTCTCACTAATTAAATTATATAGAAATTAAGCGCACGCTGTTAACTTAATCACTGCATTTAGGTTTACTATAATTAATTAACATATGGTGTGTGTGTGTAGATATATATATATATATGTATCTATAGGTTAAAATGTTTAGTTGGGATGCTTCTAGAAGATTTGTCTTTACTCTCTTGCTTGTTAGCTAGCTTTGGATGTGCAAACAAAGGGCTGCTAGTGTTGTATGCATTATTTAAGTTGTTTGACTTGCTTTCTGCCTTGTGAGCTCCCCCAATCAAAATGAAATTCTCTTCTCATATTTTTTAATAATTTTTTCAAGTACATAATGTATGTATTTATCAATTACGTAATATACATATATCAATTATAAAAAAATATAAATAACTTTCAAATAATGATACATATAAAAATACAATTCAATTCAAATTCATAAACTATCATTAAACAAAAAAATAATTGTATAGACCAAAACTCTATGTATTTAATAAGAAGATCATTTGACGAATGGAAGCAAGCAAATTTAGTAAGAGAAATAGGGGACATCCGACAAAGGAGATGGCAAACTCTAAACCCTGGTTATTGAAACTGCAATGTGGATGACATGGATTTTGACGCATATTTGCAGGTCGAGTAAGGAGCGGTGGTTACAGACTCCACAAGAAAAGTTATAGTTATTTTCTCTGTCCGACTTCAAGGATGTCGTACACTATATTTAGTGGAGTTACTCGGATGTCACAATGCTCTGCAATATATCGTATCCGACGTTCGGGGGCTAGGAACTGTGGAGGTTGATACTCAACTGGTGAAGATTGTATTAATATCAAAAGAGGAAGATCGCTCTGAATACAGTTACATCATAAAAAATTACAAAATATTATTGAAACTTAGATCAGATGTATCCATTTAGAGGCTCGGAACTTTAAATGAAATGAAGTTCTAATTTAAATGCGGAAGCGAATAATAGAGTTAGGGTTTACATTTCTTACACAATAATTTAGAATGTCCAATAAGGTTACGAGAATGTTAATTCTAAAATATAAACGATAATTAAAGAAAACAAAGCGAATAAATAAGCATTTTAAGACAACTTTCACTAATATTTGAAGGGAGTTCGGATGGTGAACTACTCATAACTCTCTTGCTGATCGGGATCTGGGTCTTGATCTTCTTGATCTGAAATAGTTAATGAAATAATGAACTACACTAACCTAATAAGAATAACACACTAATCACAGATACGAAAAATTAAAAATTGGTAAAAATAAAAAAAATAACTAATGGAGCCTTTACTTTAATTAAATACATTTAATATAAAAATATTTGTTTGATATGTACTATTATGAGTTTTCCAAAAATAATCTATGAACACTCATATCCATACCACTAGATATTTTTACGCATCAAAGAACAAGAGACAATATTTTTTTTTTATTTGCTTACTGGTATTCTTGAGGGTTCATAGGAATGTCCCACTACGCGTGAATCCATATTAAAACTTGTCAACTAACCGGCTATCCACATACCCCATCTGGTATGAGCGCCAAAAATATCATCTCTTAATACCTCATCCAGTATGAGGGTGAATCGGACCGTCCCCATATCCCGTCTGCTATGAGCGCTAAAAGTATTATCCCTCAATACTCTGTTCGGTATGAGGGTGAATCGGGTTCCGGTATGAGCGTTAAAAATATCTTTTTCGATATCTCATCTAGTATGAGATAACATTCACGATTAGGTTTTTATGTATTCGGTCCGTCCACCATCTCTCAGAATATTCAATAAAACAACCGTTTCATTAATTCACATAACCAGTCAATTCTCGTTTACATTTAATTTTCACACAATAAGATAGTGTGATAATTATCATTTTTATATTTTTTTTGGGGATTATGAGTTGAAACTTAATTAAAAACATAGAGTTCACTACTTTATAAATATATTATAAGTAAATATTTAACTCGATATAATCGATAATTTAATTTACTAATGTATTAATGAAGTTATCTTAAGTCTTACGAGCTTATTATATTTATAAGCTAAATAAAAATTTTATGACAGTTAAATTTTTTTAATTGAATAGTCGCAACGAATTAGAAATTTGATATAATTTTTTTAAAAAAATTATCTTATGACTTTATTACGTTTCTGAACGAAATGAATATTTTGTGACAATTAAATCTATTTAATTAAGTTAAAAGTTTTATATAATTTTTTTTTTTATATTAAACTAAAAAAATAAATGGGGATTTATCTCGAAGGTAAAAGAAATAGTAGAGAGGAATATGCTAAAAGTATATGGAGTCAAATCAATATTCATTAAGCTAGGAAACAAAATAAAATCAATCAATGAGTTTGCTTCACCATTATCATCTTCCTTTACGTACTACATATATCTATATGTCTATATTGTACGATATATATATATATATACATATACATATATGTATATATAGGAGCCTTGGAGATTGGAGATTTACAAATGTCACCATATAAACCGTCCAAAAAAAAAAACCCAATTCTTATCCACAAATATACGATAACAATCAATTGCTAATTCCTATTTTGAGTTGATTATTAGGTGCTCTAGAAAGAAAAATTGGCACTTAATTTTCTTTCTTTCTTTGAAATAAATTAATAAAAAAAAATACATGGTTATTCCAATTTTCATAATTATTTAGTCATGCATGGCATGAACTAACCTTATGATTCGTATGAATTATAACATTAATCAATTGGTCATTAATAAATTCGTGTAAAAATGTTTATAGATATGTGGGTGTGTATGTATGTGTATATATATAATATATGGGGCACACATATCTTAAAATATAATTAATTTAATTAGTACTCTAATAAAGTTGATAATTAAATTTAAAGTATTAAATTGTTATAAATTTAGTATGTAGAGATTAAATTATTAATTCTAATTTGACGATAAAATAAATTAAAAATAATATAAAATATATGTATTTTAATGTATTTTTTAAAGAGATTATGATTTTCAATTTTTTCTTTAATATAAAAATTTATAAATTTTAATATTATTTTAAATTAAAAGAATCAAATTATGATCATAAAAAATAATCAATTTTATAGTAAATTATATTTTTTTTGTTCTAATTAAATCGACATGAATAATAATTTTGTGTTTTAAAAATTTATTTAAATTCAACACATAAATCAATTGGTCATTATATATATATGTATGTATGTATAATTAATTAATAATTATATTTGTCGAGTAGAAAGAAGTTTAATAAGGTGGTGGTGACTTTTGTGCTTTAATGTTGCCATGTGACATGCCATGTCTCCATGACGGTGGTGGAGGCTGCCGTCATCCATTTCAAATGTTTATATACATATATTATTATCTAAAAAATAACGATTTTTTTTATTAATTATTATTTTAATTTATATTAAATATAATAATTATTTATTAAATTCATATTATATAATAATATAATTAAAATTATTTTAAGAAAAATTTAAACGAAAAAATTTCTTCAAACGCATTTTCATTGAAATTAAAATTTAATTTCGTGGGATGACTAAATGCATAAAAGATTTTAAATCATTTTTTTAAAAATTAAATTAAAAAAGGATTAAAAAAATATATTAATATTTTAGTTATTAAATTTCTTGATATATTATAAATAGGTTTTAAAAGCTTCTCAATGAAATTTTTTCTTTAAATTTTACAAAATTATTTTAATTTGTGATTTTTTATTAAAATTATAAAATTTTTTATGGGAAGATAAAGAATTTTTTTTTGTTTTTATTAGAATTTAAAAGTTATTACAAGTAAAAAATTAATTTTAATCGCTATATTTTATTTAATCCATGTAGATAATAGTAATAGATATTAAATTTTTTTAAAAAATATATGTATTGAGATTCTATTAAAATTTTTTAATAATATTTTTTTAAAATTTAATTGATTGATTAAATATATTGATGAATCTTTAATAAATATAAAAATACAAGAAAAGAACTATTTAATTGATTGATTAAAAAGGGATTAATAGAAAAAGGAGCAAATGAAAATAATTTAATATATTAGTGGGCATGCCTCCACTAAAGACAATATATTAATTATTATATTATATTAAAATTTTAAAAAGGGATTCTCTTTTAATTTATTTTTTTTAAAAAAATTATTGTGTTATAATTTTTTTGGTCATAACATGTGTAATGGGTTATGTAATTTTGACATTTAAATTGTGTGTTTAGATTATTTTATTAATTAAATAAATTATAAAAAATAAACAGCATTGTAATTTATAAAATAAAATTTTTAAAAAAGTTATAGTTCTTATTTATTGGAGTAAATTTGAGATAATAAAATAAATATAATATAATAATAGTGTTGTAAAATGTTGGAGATGTAGAGAATTAATATTGTGGTGAATCTTTTTGAAGTGGAGCCAAACTTTTTGGGATACCAAAGTGGAAGGTACAAATGCAAGGACAGAGAGAGCACATATTTTATATATATATATATATATATTATATG